ATACCAGAGTGACGGTTTGGATCATCCATCTCAAAGCTGCCTTTATCGTTTCTCACAAAGTTGAAAGAGCCTTGTGCACAAACACAACTAGACACACACACACACACACACACACACACACACACACACACACACACACACACACACACACACACACACACACACACACACACCAAAGCTACGGTGCGACTGTAAACTGCAGTGAAGTTTATGCTCCGGGGATATTCTAATAATTCTTTTACATTTTGCTCTATTTCTCCGCGAGTTCATTATTAATTTACAGACCTATCGTACTGCAGAACCACTACACTATTAAATAGGATGTCTCATCTGAGCCGCGGACCTTTTTTTTTTTCATATGAATAAAAGAAAAGAAATTCAGGGGCGCCACTGAATCCTTTGTACTTCTGCATGCAAATATAGAAATGTACTGCAAATCGCATGAGAACACGACGGCGATTCAGCCTCTGGGGACAACGACCAATATTCCAGAGCTTCTGGTGCAGCCACTGATGGGGAACCCTGGGTCAGGGCTTCCCCTCCTCCTTCCCCTCCAGCTCCATTCTATCCCACCTGGCATGTTTAAATACAAATGCAGAAAAAATACAAATGAATAAAAAACCTTTCAGATTGCATTTCGGCAAAGCAATTGCACTCCTTTTTCTCAAAGTCTTTCTTTTCATTCCACCAAGTACAGACGTAAATCAGAGCGCTTTTGATGAAAGTTCTTGCTCCGTTGCCTTCAGATTCTGCATCCATAGGCGGATATACAGTATGTTCACAGAGAATAAAATATGGCAGGAAGTCATAGTCACAAATATATCAATAGCTCTGCTGGGACCTTTTGGTGTTTTATTTTGCAACAACACAAGACTAAGAACTATTAAAGGCTTCCCAGTCTCAATTCAGTTTGTTTGCTTTTTTCTTTATGTCCCAAGCAACATAATTAACAATCGCAATGTGATGGATTTATGGAGCCCAGTGGGTATTAGAGAGACTTTTTGTGGCTCCACAAATAAAAATGCATCAACAATAACTTGAAAGCCATAATGTGTATTGTATGTGTCCATACAATACATTGACCATTTCATTCCGGGTCAATCATCTCTCAGAAAATGTCTATGTGACTCCTCTATAGTCCCATGGCGAACAAGATAGAACCTGAATCACTGTGGAAAGCGTGTCGGGGATTAGGAATGGCGGATAGTAAGTCAACACCCATTAATAATAAAATGGATTATTACTTTGAGCGCACAAAGCGTATGAGAGGGTATGCAGAGAAAGCCGATGCACACGAGATTGAAATGGAAGCGCTGAGACAGCTGTGGGTGAGGTGAGGGGCACCGCGTGAAGACGGGACCCGGCTACTGTAATCGTTTCTGGCCTGTAGTTAATCCCAGGAACCCGCTGCTAAAAAGCGCCAGCCTGTCACAGCTTCTCCTGGGCTGAATCGCACCGGCCCTCCTTCCATTAACGTTTCTCTCTGTTCGGTTTACACACAGCAGCAGACAGGCAGAGCGACGACAGCCAAGCAAGCCCACGTACCTTCAGTCTGAAGTACATTTAGGCTGCACCGCGTAGAGAACATCAAGGCAGCTACTGACTCTGCACCCAGTGTGCTCTTAGCTTGTGTTTAGAGAATGGAGCGTACTTTCATATTGCTTTTCTAGTCTTCAGACAACTTGAAGTGCTTTGACACTACATGCAATCGTTCACAAATTCACGCACTGATGTCGTGGGCTGCCATGCTACGGGCCAGCTGCCAATAAGGACTCGAAAAAAAAAAAGCCTGCGGGAGCAATTTGGGTTTAAGTGTCTTGCCCAAGGACATATCGGCAGCGCCAAGAGGAGCCCGGGATTGGACCAGCGATTGTCTGCTTGAAGACTGAGCCAGTGACAAACAGCTAAGCGACCTTTAAGTAGGGGTCGGCCGACTAATTTATCTATTATATAAAATATTCCACCACCTGTAGCTGTTGTGTTAGTTATAGAGATAAAACAATTTATTATTGCTCTAAATTTCACCTTTGTAACACGGAGTTCTACAGCAGACATCCAGATGTGCTGATTCAACCTGCGTGGAATGCAGCCAGATGTTCAAGGTTTGTTTCACAACTACATTTGCCTTCTTCTCTGCACAGATGTGTGCGTGCGTGCAGCCTCACAGAGAGAAAACAGCAGGGTGCCGAGATCTTCGGGAGTCTACCAGCTGCTGGTGGCCAACGGTAAAACTTGAATATCACAATATTGGGTAAAATCATAATGTTACTTATAGCGGGAAAATCATGAGCGTTAATTCAGGTTTGGTTGGTTTTTCTAATAATTATTACTGCGAAACAAATAACATGATGTAACGCTTCGAAAGAACTCATCAGCATGCCACGCTTTGGGTTCCATTGAAGCGGTTGCTCTCCAGCACTCCCCGCTGTGGCCATGTCTGGATCGCCGCTATCATGGCAACACGCCGCCGTCAGATCTGAAGTGGGAGCGAGGAGCAGACGGGGATATTTGGCGTGGAATTGTGCGGAAGACTCGAGTAAACCCCACAAGCTGCTGCTGAATGTTTGCCAGTGCTACTGCATCGGCCACTGTTAAATCTTTAATGGAGGAAACAGTAGCGTGATGTCATTGCCTCCTCGTGCTCCACTTTGCTTTTTGCAGGAGTGACAGTCAATACTGCCAGTTAATAATAGGAATGGTAAAACGACAGTAAAAATGTTTCTGGTATTTTGCCGTGTACAGTTTAGCACATTGTGTTAAAGACGGAGGCTCAACCGTTGCACCGTCCTGGCTTTAGCCTCACATACCCTTCCAGTATATTCCGCTCACATGCAGGAGGAGCAGTCATGCCTGAGGCCTTTCAAGGAGACCCGGCAGCCATAAAGGCTTCTTCTCTTCACTGAATGCTAAATGAGCCACCTATTGGATTGGAGAGAATGGTTCAAATCTAATATGGGGCTGCCTTCTCTGGTGTTTGGAGGTCAAAATGGAGTGATGATGGAAGACTGGATGCATTTTTGTAGACCTGTCGGTAGAGTGGTTGAAATAATAGGGAAGATCTGGTTTCATGAGAAATGATGAACATTCTAAATGTGTGTGTGTAGCATTGCTCCTGCTGTCAAACCTCAATGGCTTTTCCTTGGTGAAGTCTGAGCATCGTATTGGCCCGGCGCCTGGCTTAGCGAAGGCGATTGATTGGCTGGAATAATCGCCTGGCTGGATAAGCGTGCCGTAATTAGGATTAATTGAAACCGATCAATGACTTAAACAGAGTTTCAACAGATGTACAACGTCCTGAAATGTCTAAACTGTTTTCCTTTCGTTTCTCTCACTTCCTTTTCCCCCCCAATCCTTCTCTGCTCCATCGGAGGCTAAAAGGGGGATAAATGATGACGAGGCACTTATTTAATGATACTGACTGTGTGCATGTGTGCAATCCAAACAGTCCCGTAAAGACTCTTCTGCCGTGGTACAAATAACCGGGTTCTGACGATTTTGCTCGTCGTCATGGCAACACTTTCAAGTTAGGTATATCGCACTACACGAAACTGCCGCCCTTCTTAACTTCCATTCTGCCGCTGGGACAAAACAAAAAAACAAGTGTATCCGCACGCACTCATTTCCATAAAAATCCCACACCCACTATGAGAAAATATCTCTTCCCGCGAGCGCATTATTCAGCTTGAAAGATGGTACAGGCTTGTGTTACGGATGCGCCGCGCTGCCACCAGACATTACTGCTGTTGCTCTGAATGGAGAAACGCGAGACATCCTTCAGCGGTATATCGGTCAGGCTCTCGTGTGAAAGCTTGGTTTTCTGTGATGGATTTTATATGATTTCCAAGGCTTCTCCATTACAGCATGATGTTTATTTAGTAAATTATAGTCCATTTGGACTAGAACAGGCCGTCCAGCAGCGTGTGGCTTCCTTTTGACAGGCTGCTTCCACAGAGTTGTGAGGACTTTAACTGTAACATTTTGGTTGCCTGAAAAAAACATATTCAACATTGGTTGTACTCAGCTCCAGAAAAGTGCCCCGATTATAGATCGTCAGGTCAGGGGAGAAAAGCAGGGAAGTGATGCTTGCGTTTACGGAAAAGGTCAACAGAAAAGTACTAATTTTCCCATTTTATGGCAAGAAAATGAAGTCAGAGTCAGGAGATGATCAGGCTTCAGGCATTGGCTAAAATAAAGCTGATCAATATACGATCCTGATTGTGTCACTAAACCTTTATCCATTATGCTGGGAAGCGCCTGATGAAGATGAGGTCCACACTGTGAGAGAGACTCGATGAGGCAACCTCAACCTCCTGACTTCAACTGTAACCCACGCAGACAGCAGCCAGACACCTGAGGAGATGACGGCGCCGAGCCGGAGTTTCCGGGGGAGAGCCGTGACCCTTTGTGTGTGTGTGTGTGTGTGTGTGTGTGTGTGTGTGTGTGTGTGATGCAACAAAGCGTAAGGCCGTTTAGGGAAGATCCTGGTGAGACGGATTAAGAAGGCAGATTTGAGGAAGGGGCCGTTCATGTCATGACATCCATCAGCTGACATCACCTCACGCTCCATGGATCAGGGTTTGTTTTTTTGTGGGGGGGGGGGGGGGTGAGGGGGGGTCGCTGCAGGTCTCAGAAAAGACTGTCAGGTTGAGCCTGAACCACTGTTACAAAGAAGCCAAGCCTCCCACCTCCATGACGATCTGAGCATCGAACGTGTCAGCAGGCTTCATCTTCTCGTCGCACACTTGGAAGTTTAGTTTTTTTATTCCCAGCCAGAAACCACAAGCTGCTCACAGTCACAGGGAACACACATCAGCATCAGTTGCCCTTTATGATCAGCATCTTTTGTTTAATTCCTCCCGCAGGCGTGGGAGCAGATGGGTGTCACCTGTGCCGTCACCTCTCCGGGCGCGCTCACACACACACACACACACACACACACACACACACGTCCGAAGTCCAAAGGGACACCGCGGGGGTCGGACAGAGGACACGTGACCTACCGTTCCCAGAGACGTGGTTCTCCAGCTGGCCGCGTGCGGGCTGCCTCGTGGAGACTCCGAGCTGCATGTAGAGTCCCATGTAGTGTAAAGTCCCCAGCAGCACTCGGAACGCTGCCATGTCTCTTCTCTCTGCTGGAGCCGCTCTCCTTTCCCTCTCATGTAACGTCGGAAATCAAATTGGTTTTTGTTTTTCTTCTTCTCCTTTGTTTGTTGTTGGGTTTTTTTTGTCTCTCTGTCTTTTTAAATCCAGATGAGTCGTTGTGGCGAGGAAGGAGCAGAGTGGCGGGGGGAGGCTGCAGCCTCTCGGTGTGGCAGCGGGACCGACTGACGCTCCGCTTCCGCTCAGTCGGGTCTACATGCGGCGGAGGGACTTCCTCCCAAATGGGAGGTGCCGCGGCTTTCGACGGGGGATGTCAGTTCTGAGAGGAGTGATATTAGAAACACGACAATGCGCTTTGTGAAACGACAGTCGACTCCGACTCAACTATTATTATTATATTTGCTAATAATACGATTGTCATCATTGTACATGGTTGAAAAATGTATTGACCCTAATTTAATCTCATTAACCCATCTCTATCTTTACTTTAATTGAGCTATATTGTTGTAAAAAAAGATAGGATAAGATTATTATTGCCCTGAAAGTAAAATTGCAAAGAAATTATTTTGACAATCTTTCCTTTAAAGACTTTAAAGGGCGACGGCAGCATACGAGTGCAACAACAAAGTGTTTTACTCTAGCCTAAGTTATCTCAGTAATCACTGGCTTGCTGGGTCAGTAATTTATTATGACTTTTTTTTAAACAAATTTATAAGGAAAAAGTTATTTTACCCCGAAGGATTGTGTGGTGGCCATTTGTCTGTGGGATCAATAACAACTTCAAAGGGCCACTGATGTTCTTCCTTATACTCAGCAAGAAAACAACGTCCATGCATGCTTTTTGTTTTGTTTGATATGTATTTGGCCAAAAAGACAATCAAACACACAAACATATAAATCCGATCGCTGCCTCCCCCCCATTGCTCTTCTGGTAAAATGGTGTATCTCACCCCGGTGCATGCGGGGCCTATAAGTGGCTGACTGCAAACAGAAAGGCAATCTTGATATATCATTCAATCAAACCTAAATAATTAAACAATACTACTTAAAGATAAGAACTGAATACTAATGACAAATTATTGGCGCCAACAGAAGGAATTGATCTGTTCTCTCTTTTGTTTTTCTTAGAGTTAAAGAAAAAGAATAATCGCTTCAATTTAGTTTTTAAAAATGAAATTAAAAAAAATCTTTTGCTGTCAGTAAACATGATGACGTTTATTTTTTGGGACGGCGGGATACTTCTCCGGATATGCGCATCTGGCTTATAGCACAAAGATGTATATAAGTGGACTTAATCATCGTGACGTCACCCGTTGGTTTGTGGACTTTGGCGGTTTGTCCGCAGCCATCTTGGTTTACGCGTGTTGCCATGTTCATCAATTTCTTTAAGCAACATTAGATATTCAAATAGCTGCCAATTGCGTGATGAAAATATCTAAGAGTGGTCAAGAACGCTGGTGGCCGGACACTGGCAGAGAGAGACAATGAAAAGTCTTTTTTCTCCTGATATAAAGAACATTTTACTGTCAAAATGCAATACAATAATGTATTGTGTAAAAATGGGCTTATTTGCTTTTTGGTTGGAGTAAACAACTTTTGGGTTATGGTTTGTTTCGGCTTTTTTTGTGACCGGCTGCCTCAACCAGTGGGAGGTACATTTCTAAAGAGCAAAATAAAAGGACTACTTGCACTGTGACGTTGAAAGTCCGGTTTAAATAAATACACAGGTCCATTAAGAGAACTGAAATGAACACCCTGGTCTGGAGCTGCAAGCCGCCTCCTCAACTTCAGAACCCTGGACAGCGACATCAACTGTCCGTGGTGCTGAAACACAGCTTCAAGGCTGGCGCGTGCTTCTGCGTCGTTGCGTCGACGCACTCGTTTCAATTCATGGTTCTAAAAGTCTTGCGTGTGTTGCAGAGCAATTCACCGCCAGAACAACAGGCGGAGTAACGTGTTTTGTTGAAGACGACCTGGAGAGTCACGTCTTTGTGTGTGGAAGTCGTTGGTTTGTTTATTTATTTATCATAGACTTTATTGCCCCGTGCATCGCCACTGCCGCTTTTCATCACGGACACATTTGTCCCGTATTTTCCTCCACAACTTTCTTCAGCTCGACCGGCAAACCGACGTTTGCGGCGATCTCCCTCCATGAATCAGAAACCACCCGCGCGTCCTTATAGTCCGCCAATGACGGCTTGTAGAAGCGGTCATATTTACGCATTTCTTCCGACAAAAGCTCTTCAATCTGATCCGTTCTCTCGTAAACATTCTTTGTTTTAATAATGCGTTATTGTGCTATGAAACGGAAATGTGAGACTCTGTAAGGATGTAGTTAGCAGACCAATCGCAGCCTTGTGCGCTGCCGGGAGGAAAGCCTAGAAAAACGGGTCGACGCACGCAAGGACGCAAGGAGGTGTGAAAAGACACGCAAGGGACACGCAAGATTTGTGTTTAAAGAAAACCAAAAAAACAATCCTACAAATCCTTGTCTTCAGCTTGTGATTTTTTTTCCCCTCCCGTTGCTTGAGTGGCGTGCGACAACATGTTGCACTCTGGGCCGAGAGGTCTCAGCTGGTCCCTCTCACTCTTCTACATCATTATGGGATTATCACACACTCAACATGGCTGCGTCTTCTTCTTCAGGGTGGTTCAACTTCTGCTCGTAGGGAGTCAAACTGTAAAACCGTGATCGACCACATTAGACTGTCGCCGGGGAAACGGCTCGATAAATCAAATAACATCAGCTACCACACACGGCTAGGAGAGTAACACACGTGGAGGAAGCATACAAGTGAACGTGTGTGCGCGTTTATGTCCCGTTGGCCAGTTCAATCTACAGCATGGCATCTTCTATAAAAGTACAACATGCAGTAGAGGAGAAGGAGGAAGTACTTGGTAAATATGTTCTTATGTGAATTACTTGAGTCAATGTGCTTCGTTAGTCCCGACCTTAATCTGTAATTCAGTTTATTCATGTCGTGGCTTTTTCTAAAATGGCTTCAAGCGTAGTCACTTGCAGCATTTTTGCTTTTATGTTGTCAAAATAAATAATCTATCTTTTTATAAATAATCTTCTTCTCAATCGTTTTTCCTTGGACGACTGGATGTGTTGACAGGGTGGTCGGTCCTGTTCATTGTACTTCCCTTTACTGATTGTACTTGTACCTCATTTAGCGTACATTAATTTAGACATGTAGTATGGCGTGTGAGCAGGTGACCTCTGAACCCGTGACCACTTTGCGCTCAGGTGGACCCTAAAGACTACATGCTGACGGGGCTCAAGGACGTGGCGGTGGGCCGCCTCCTCGGCAAGCTCAACGGCCCGCAGTTCGTCATCCAGGACTGCGAAAACTGCGACATCTACGTGTTCGACCACTCGGCCGCCGTCACCATCGACGACTGTGTCAACGTTAAGTGCGCGATGACTCCACTGGTCCCATAGATGTCTAGTCCTTCTGTTGGAGCCCAATTTTTTCTTCATTCATCAATATTCAAGAACAGAAATGACCCCCCTCCCCTCCCAAATGTGTTTTAATATCTGACAGGGCATTTATTTGAGTTCTTGTGAGAATTTCGGCCCGACATGCTCCGCAGCGCTCACAAGCCGCCCCACCACCAAGATATGACCTTTTTTTTAGTTTTTGCCATAAGGTCTACTAGGTAATTTAAATGCCCTAGACGCACAACTCCTGAGCCTAATCGTTTTGTTGCAATCAGCGAATGACGTTGACAAATTGTCGACTGACTTAACTGTAACGACCTTTCAGGGAACACACAAGTTGGCAGGATAGAATGAAGGAAGCACCACCGTGACTTTAAAGTCAAAATGCCACCTGTTATTACACCTTTCATCAACCGCTGCGCTGAATCTCAATAACAGAATAGCGTCTCCTCTCGGCCCCTGCTAACAGAGAAGAGCCCCTAAAGCACAGCCGTGCACAGTGTTGGCACTCAGTCATTCGGAAAATACAATTATTCTTCTTCCCCTCGGCTGTGAAATTGCTGTACAACCGCTGTTAAACACGCCACAGTCATAATCACTGATAAGAGATGCATGGGGCCGGGGCCGCTCCGGCAATGCGAAATGCAAACGATGCCCCGCCGCTCTACCCATCTTGTTACGCAATGATATGAGAGTTCCTTAAGACACTTAGGAAAGGGAATAGATGTGGCAGCGAACGGCGCCTCCGTTGACTGCGGCTCCCTGCCAGACCTCGGTCAGGGGAACCAGAGCGGGCGTGGCACACTAACAGTGATTAATAACATTACACCGTTGACAGGACGCTAATACATATGGATGTTGCGTCTGGTTTCAACTGAGAGGCAGTTAAGTGCCGTCTGCACAAAATAGTAATACTTTAAATTGCAACAAACCGATTACGATGTGCGGTTTGTTGTAAAGCATCGACTCAAATGACCCATCAATACAAGAAATGAAAACCGCAATCACGCCGGGCCTTCAGGGTCAGCAAGGCCGTCTCTACTGGTGTCAATTTTCATTTCATTGCCTTGCTCTTGCTGCCTCAGGTTGAGATTTTGCCGGGTGGTGTTTATGTGAGAGCTTTTATTCAATCATATTTCAGCTCTCACGTGTTGCCAGGGTGCAAGAAATCACCGAGGGTGCAGGTGTGAAATGGGTCATGATACAGTAATTCCTTGTGATGTTATGGCAATCTGACTATCTGCAGTCTGACACACAACCTCGGCGACAAGCAAGGGAAATGTTATTGGGCATGTTTCATTATCATTTAGAGCCCCAAAAACATTTATTTTTTGCCAATTTGTTTAATTTGTTCAACTTCGGGGCGACTCAAGGACACACGTGGGTGACTCAACTGGCAAAAGCTTGAAAACGCCAGCAGCACAGCTGGTAAACCAAATGCATTGCTCTACTAGAGCAGGTCCGCTCAGAACGTGGCTGATTGCTCTGCCTGGCGTTCTTGTTTGTCATAATGTATAAAGAAGCACAGGGAGGCGGCGCCCCGTATTTTCCTATGAAAGATGAGCCCAAAAGAACTTTGACATCAGACTATAACATTCAGATGAAATCCAGCACGTCTTCCACTGATCTTCATTTAGCTGATGCTTTTCTCCAAAGCGACTTACGATAAGTGCATTTCAACTGCACGGACACAAACCCAAAAGAACAATAAACAAGAAAGTGCAGTTTCATCTTCTTCCTCCCTGGTCCCTTTGAGCAAAAAGCTGCAGCGTCTCCTTCAATAACCCCCCCTCCCCAAAAAATATTACGTTTTTTTACGGTTTG